TGGGGGGGGGGGGGGGGTTATTTTTGTTTGCTGTCAATTGTTTTTTTACAAGCACTATTAAAATACTACTTCCCTTCAAGAATTCTGCACTATACTATCTTTCAGGTGGCACTCCAGCTAAAAAATTATACTGCCCACAAATTCTGCACTTGTACTACATATACGGGGAAATACCAGCTGAAACATATACTTCCCCCCCCCCAATTAATAAAAAAAAAGTATTTTATTGATATACTCTCCTCTCCAGTAGTGTCCCCCATGCAAACTCTTCTGTGTTCCAGCACCCCAGTTCTGGGTTTAATGGCGGTCAGCGTCACTTAACCCACTTCTGTGAGTTCCATTCCCTATTGGGATGTAAACACCCTAGCCTAGGCTCACAGGAGATGTTTTTGTAAACTGGTGAGAGGAGATACTCCACTATTGGGGCTGCCCAATCTGGAGTTTGGCTTTCAAGTATGAAGAAAGCAACAAAATTCCTTCTAAGACACTATTGTTTTTAATCTCCAGCTTGCTGTAAGTCTGTATAAGAAAGTGCTTTTGATCCTGCATGAATCCATATTGCCTCACATGAGCAAGCCCACATTGATGATTGATTTCCTTACTGCGGCCTATGATATTGGTAAGTAAATAAGTATACTATGTTTTATGTTGCCTTATGTTTGTGTCACTATGCATTTTCACAATACCATGTATTTGTGCTTTGTCCTAGGTGGAGCTATAAGCCTTCTGGCCCTTAACGGACTATTTCTTCTAATTCATCAGCATAACCTGTAAGCAGCCATGTATATGTTTGAGATTTAAAGCGGTGCTGATGGTTGACATGTCATGGGATACTTTCTACCTTACAGTGATGTAACAGACTTCCTTATTTCAAGACAGAAAACAGTGAATTAAAGTAGATTTCCTCAGAGGTGTTAATATTTTCTATATGTCCCCATAGGGAGTACCCAGATTTCTACAAAAAGCTTTATTCTCTCTTGGACCCCTCTGTGTTTCATGTGAAATATCGAGCCAGGTTCTTCCACTTAGCCAACTTGTTTCTGTCTTCCACGTAAGTTTTGAAAGCTTATACAAATAGCAGATTTCCGCTTGATATCCATTCTGATTTTGATCATTGAATTTGGTTTTGCAGACATTTACCTGTGTACCTTGTTGCTGCTTTTGCCAAGCGTCTGTCACGACTGTCTCTGACTGCCCCTCCACAAGTATTGTTGATGATCATCCCATTCATCTGTAACCTGATCCGAAGGCATCCAGCTTGCCGACCTCTCATCCATCGGCCCATGGCATCAGGGGGTGACTTGTTTTCTTAATATTTTTATAGTTACGGCTGACTTGTTTTATTATTATTATTATATAAGAAAGCTGTTGTGACAGAAATATGGAGGCTGCCATTGCTGAGCTTATGGTTGCTTTGTAGTCTTGCTAACCCTGTTGCTTCAATACATTTGCCAGGTCATTGATTCAGGAAGTATTGACGCTAGAGGGTCAGTATAATACCCAATTAGCTAGCATTGTCAGAAGGACATCAGCAATGGAAGCCCGCATATGTCTCTCATGGTAACTTTACTTTAAGGTCTATAATCTAGGGCTTATAAAGGGAAGTCACAGTTTTGGAAACTTTAAGCTAGGTTCCTCTGTGTAAGGGTTTTAAATATTCTCTCCTCTCTCTCCTCATAAAATAGTGCTTAGGGACCTTTTTACACCGAGCTAGTACCATGCATGAATGTTGCCGATTTACTGCCTGTGTTTTTGTGTGCTTTGACTAATGGAGAAACTATGTATAGGGATTTTCCAGTGTAATTGTGATTTATATGCATTTACCATTCATTTCAAGGAACTACATAAAGTTCAACTGAAGCCAAATTGGTTTTGTTTTTTTTAAACTTTTGGATGAGCAGCAGTGCATAGACATGCAGCAGCCACATAGGGGTGCATCAGGTTTCTTCTTCCATTCAGTAAAATATGTACATGTGTAGTGTAAATGCATTTTATACATTTTGTAATTTTTTTTCTGTTTTGTATTTAAGATTTGATATCCGATCCATTCATCATGGAGGAGCAGGATCCAGCAAAGAGTCAAGCTTTAGAGAGCTCTCTCTGGGAGCTGGAGGTAAGATTACCAAATCTAATACAAGTTTTATTGGTCATGACACCTCCTGCCAGCCCCTACCTTCCAACAGAACGCAGTAGTGACTTGGGCACCAGTGTACTAAACCACCAGCGGAACAGTAATCCAACACTTCTGGAAGAGTTTATTCCAGTACTTCAGTGGAGATTGGTGGCATGGCCAGTGGGAGAGGCTAGTATTAAATATCTTTGCACGGGACAATTTGGTTTACTTATTATTATTATTGTCATTATTGTGCAGGATTTTATATAGCGCCAACAGTTTGCACAACACTTTACAAAATACAGGGGCACAGAGTTACACAAATTAGTACAGGAGGGTTATAAGGGCTCTGCCCACAAGGGACCTAATGAACATCATGCACGGTTCTATTCAAATCTGAGCAGGGGTTTTTTTTTTTATGCAAATTTTTTTTGTCACTCCACCCCTGACTGATTTGGGGGAGTTACATCCAGCCCTGAAGTCCCTTCCACCCATTCATTCTGCAGCTTTCTGCCTACTCTGCCACCTTCAATTAGCCAAACAGTGCACACCGGAGAGGTGGCACAACCCCCAAACACCTTCAAGTGTGTTGTGCAGCCTTCTGCCTTCTCTGATTTTTCTCTGCCAGGTTTTATGAAGTAACAAGAAATACTGAGCCCAGACCTCTGACCAGCTATTCAAAAGATAGAGTGCAGTAGCAATTTCATTTACAACAACACTTGTCAGAGAGAGCCTAGTGTAGTAGCTGACAAGACACCAGATACAGTGTGCTTACTTAGTGTGAAAGCAAAGCAGCACTTGAATGGTGATGTCTTAAAGCTTACATACATTATGGTATGTGCTTTATAAACACACACACCAGGGATTTTCTTTTTGTTTTATAACTTTAAATAGTTGGGCAGCTGTTTTGGGTCATCACTCCAACTACGCTTTTTTTTTGTAGGTTTCCAGATCTGGCAATAATTGACTTTTGACACCCTTGGCTCTTATCATGCCAAGAAAATTAAAGGAGAACTATGGGGTTAAGGCTTTTCCACAAACTAGCATCCTCCCGTCACCCTAGGCTCAGTATACCGCGAGCTACAGCCCGCTGTATACTGAGACACCACAGCTGAAGCGGATCCTGACAATTATGTCTGGATCCGCCCAGCTGCGTGAGTGACAGCTGGCTCTGCCTATCCAGAGCCAGCTGTACCCTCCCCGTCCGTTCCGCCAGTCAGCGCTGGCAAGGAGGGGCGAATCCAGCCCCTCCCCTGTCACGGCAGAGAGCTGTGACAGGATCGAGAGGTGTGCGAACGCCGGTATGCGTTCGCTCACTTCCCGATCTACATAGCCGACCTGTGACAGTCTCATTGTCACAGGTCGGCTAGAACTATGAGGTGAGTGAAAAGCACTCAACTCATAGTTCTCCTTTAAGAAATGTTTGGTGTAATTGGGCTGAATATTTGTGGTGTTGGCTTCAGCCCAAGTACTATACATACATATATAAGATGGGAATGAATATTTTGTTTAGTGTGAAGTACAACATGTCTAAATGGTTTTATTTTATTGTGTGTCCCAGTTCATATACCTGAGTTTTTGTGTTTTATTTTGTATCTGTAGGCTCTGCAGAATCATTATTACCCGGATGTTGTGAGAGGTGCCAATGTCATTAGTCGTGCCTTGTCCTCACAAGAAAGTGAAATCTCCGAGCTACTTGAGTTCTCTTCCTATGAGGTAAGGAACAGTGACAGGTTATATGCAGTGTGTCCTCTTCTACTTGTTAAATTACATGAATCATATAAAAATACAGTTTTCATGTAGATATTTGTAATGTTTCATAATGTATGCAATATAGTAAGTTTACAAAACTGGTTGATGTATAAAACTAGAGGAAAGATACCTAAAAATGGAAGAGCTGCCTTTAAATAACCAGTCATTTTCCTTGCATTGTTTCCACAGTCAGTGACTTGGGCTTCACCTTGTAAATGTTGCATGCCTGAAGAGCATTTTCAACATTTTCCTCAACCTTGGTGCAAGTGGTACTGAAGCTGCAGCCACCACTGACCTCATTCACACAGTGTCTTTGTGCATTTTGTTTTGCATGTACCTGTGCATTTGTGCATCTTTATACACGCGTACAGAGTTGTGCATTTTTACGATTTAGATTGTGACACATTGGTATGATTGGACAGACGCGTGTTAAAATGTGTCAAAACGCGCATTTTTGAGCTTTTTCATTGAAGTCTATGGGGCCAAGAAGCACAGAATCTGCCATAAAGAAGCTCATGCACTTTCTTAAAGTGACGGGCATTTTGCTACAAATGACAAAACACTCGGATGTGAACATGGCCCTACAAATGAATGGGTTTTTTGGGGGGGTTTTCTATCAATTTTTCAGAGCAGAAAAAGCGCTATAAAATGCTCAGTGTGAATGACGCTAAGAGCTGTGCCTAGCACTCGCTAAATACATCTGGAGACTGTCTTGAAGAGGATGTGGACTGTGGAAGCTGAGCCCTAGGCAGCCAGGGGACAAAATACTAGTAGTCAGCATTCTGTACGCTCCCTGAAGCTCATATTTTCCCAGACACTGACCTTGCCACGCCTTGTTCTGCACTGTGAGTTGGTGGCCATCTTGGTAGAGGCAGGGCTTTGTTTCCTCATGTGAGAACTTGGTGTTCTGATAACTAGTGGGAGGAAATTCAAGTTTAAGACCACTTTAAGGGCTTTAAGAGAGCTGTGTAGAAATACCTGCTTTACACATTGTTCTCCAGATTAGTGTTTATCACTAGGCCTTACAGCTCAGCTTTTCTACAGGGCTCTGCTTACAATTTGCCTTTCTTTGCCTCAAAGGAGGTTTTTACAGCTTTAGTAGATATAAAAGGCAAATAATAGTTTTGTATTTTTTCCCCTGTTTTATACAAAAACTAAATTTTAATAAATATTATTTTGAAGCTATTCGAGAAACAGATGAAGAAAAGATTTGGGTCGGTGCCACTGGAATTTGAACCTGTTCGAGGAATTTTAGGCAGAAAACAAGATATCACGGCTGAACACTTTTCTTTATAAAGTGGAATTCTGGGCAAAAATGAGAACATGAATCATATTATGTGTGTGTGCCTTCTTTCTCTATTCAAGTTTTCCTCCCCCAGCAGGAATCAAGGTATTGTGTGCACCATATGAGAACTTGGGACAAAGTGGCACTTCCTACATGCCCACGTACCTGTATCTCTGAAGACTTTCATCTTACGTCACACAGTTCATCCCAGTGGGATCTAGGAATGATGTCACACAGTTGAAACTAAATGACCACCCAGAAATCCCTGAATATAAGGGCACTCGCCCAAACAGGCAACATCAAAAAAAAAAAAAAAAACCACAGCCATAACACAACATTTCTATTAAATGGAATTTTTGGATGTTGAAGCCGAAACTGTCTATTGCAATAAATTCAGAGGCGAAAAAGGACTTGTGATAGACATTTTTGATTTTGGATTATGTTCTGGACCAGGATCACTTTTTATTTTTCTTATATGGTTCTAAACCCAAAAGCAAAAAATTAATATATTGCAGATTACAAATTCTTAAATGTGGTGGATGCATTAGTTTTCTTTTACCAGGTTTTTGTTTTCTTTATTTTCACCTGGTTCTGTTATTTTTCAGCTTCCTTTTAACAGACCATGAGTTGAGACCATTTAACACTGACAGGGGTGCTTACAATAGTTATCTTCTCTACTTTGTGTAAAAACTTTATTTAAAAAATGAAAATAAAAAACTGTAGCTGCCTTCGAAGTGTTGGCTGGAGTGCAACTTGTCAAGTCCGCTAGTGCATCAGACACTCCCCTCTCCACTGGTTCACAATGCTTCTGTTCAAGGGTGGAGACACCCTAAGGCGGGAAGTGTGTTTACTAACTGGAAGAAAAAAAACTAATGCAGCCATCACATCTAAGCATTGGTAAGCTGCAATATATTACATGCTTGTATTGGGGTGTAGATTCACTTTACTATGTTTGCCTGACTGTATTGGTTGTATGTTATGTGCATATTTTCTAATGTATTCTGTGTTCAGACAGTACCATCTATGAAATACATTTGTCATTTCTAATTATGTGATCCTGGAGTTTTGTGAACCTAAATTCTGCAAGTGAGTTACTACACAAACCACAAACGCTGACACCAGTCTAGTACATGGGGTACACTCTAATCTGCCATTGGTCAGTCTTCCAACAAGAAAGTGCTTAGTGCCTGAGCAGCAAGTCCCCACGAGAGTGAAGTCACATGGCAGTGAATTTCAGGGTGTTCTGGCAGCTCTATAAGGTAGCATTGGAGATGATTATTGGGGCTCTTGTCTAGCAAATTGGTGCTTAGTTCACTTCTTGCGCTTCTGTGAATTGTAAGGATATTGGCAGACAGACCTTGCAGAGTAGGTAAAGGATGTGCTATTATGTGATGTAATGTACTGCACTTTTCTTCACTTTCATTATAGAAAAGTTCATTATTATACTTGCAAAAATTATAAGGTATAGTTATTTGGGAGTTGCTATTCCTCCCCTCCAATAGTTACAGTGGAATTGCTCCTCGTTGGAAGGCTCAACCTCTATGGCTGATGCTGCTTTCAGCTTTTCTTTACATCTGCTTGTACAATGAAGGGAATTTATCAAAGCTGGAGCAGCTGTGTTTGGCAACCAGTTTTTCTTTTATTTTCAAAGCTTAACTGAAAAAACTAAAGAGAGAAGCTGATTGGTTACTATGGACAACTACTCCAGATTCTGTCTGCTCCAGTTTGGATGAAATCCCCCAATGTGTTTCTTTACCTGTGAGATACCCATTAACTACCAGGTAACGCTTCTGGTAGTTTCAATGCTTGAGTACACTACTCAGCCCATCTTCTAGTCTTACTGATGATGGGCTGTTCCTGATGACTTTAGGTTGGTAGGTTAGTTTGAAAGATTAGGGGCCAGGGGTTGAGTCATAATACTTTATAGAATACAAAGCCATATTGTGAATGGTATTCAGGCTAGTATAAAAGCCAATTTGTATGGTTTTAGAGTGGAGAATTGCAGAAGGATAGACTTGCTAGGGTTTTTGCTGAGGAAGTCACAAAGGAGGACAAGTTGGTATTCTGTAGAAGATACGTTTGTATTCATGACGTATATGTATAAAAAATTTCCTTTGGGACCTGCTGCAATTTTTTCCAGAATATAATGGTATTTCCTGGAGCATCATGGTTGCCACACAATGGGTAAACACTCCGCCCCCTAACCCAATGTGTGCTGCCATGAAGATGCACCAGGAAAGAAAACATTACGGAAGGTGAGTATACAGTTTTCCATTGTCATTTTTGTTATTGACTGTCTACCGGTTATAGCAGCAGTGAAGCAAGGAGCTGAATGATGTCCATGAAGCCTCTATCTTTAAACCAAGTCAGAAGCTCCCATTATGTCTTTCCTCTTATGTTCGCTTAAAGAGGCGGAGGGTGCCTTTGCCCAGCCCTCACTTCCCCTGCAGAATTGAGGTGGACATGGGGCCAGTTATACTAGTAACTACTCTCTGATGAGCCATAACCTTATGACCACTTAGAGGTGAAGTGAATAGCATTGATTATCTTGTTGGTACAGTGCAATGGCACCTGGAAGTGGATGGGATAAATTAGGCAGCAAGTGAACATTTTGTCGCTGAAGATGATGTATTGGAAGCTGAAAAAATGGGCAAATGTAAGGATTTGAGCAACTTTGATAAGGGCCAAATTGTGATGGCTGGCTAAACAATCAGGTCAGAGCAAAACTGCAGCTCTTGTGGGATGTTTGTAGTGGTCAGGACCTACCAAAATGGGTTCAACAAGGGAAATTTTGGTGAGTAAATGCTCGGTGATACACATGGGTGTAGAGAAGGCTGGTCCATGTAGTGTGATCCAATAGAAGAGCTACTGTAGCTCAAATTACAAAAAAAAAGTTAATGCTAGTTCCAGTAGAAAGGTCTTAACACACAGTGCATCACAGTTTGTTGCGTATGGGGCTGTGTATCTGCAGACCTGTCAGGACCCATGTCCACCACTGCCAAAAGCACCTACAATGGGCATGAGAGCACCAGAATTGGTCCATGAAGCAATGCAGGAAGGTGGCCTGGTCTGATAAATCACATTCTCTTTTACATCATGTGGATGGCTGGGTGCGTGTGTCTTGCTTACCTTAGCAAGCTGGCAGAGGCACTTTGATTCTTTGGGCAATGTTCTGCTGGGAAACCTTTTGGTCCTGCTATTCATCTGAATGTTACTTTGACACGTATAACCTACCTAAACATTGTTGCTGATCCAAGTACACCCCTTCATGGAATCTGTATTGCCTGAGGGCAGTGGCCTTTTTCATCAGGATAATGCACCCAGCCACACTACAAAAAATGGTTTGAGTTGTTGGCTTGGCCTCAATTCTCCTGATCTCAATCCATTTGACCATCTGTGGCATGTTCTAGAAAAACAAGTAAGATCAATGGAGGCCCCACCTCGCAACTTAAAGGATCTGCCTTGATGGCCCAGTGCCAGATACTACAGCATTCCTTCAGAGTTCTAGTGGTGTCCATGCCTCGACAGGTCAGGGCTTTTTTGGCGGGTGGTGATAATGTTATGGCAAATTGATGTAAGATTTTATAATTCTCCTGACTTTTGCAGTGCTACAAATTGTGATACATTTGAAAATGAAACCGGCCAGTACTATTCAATAAAAAATGGACAAAAAGGTGATTGCTGCCATATGCCCACTGTGCTTGGGGAAAAAAAACTGGAGCAGAGAAAATCTGGAGCAACTGTGCAGAGTAACTGACCGGCCTTTATCTCTTATTTTCAAAGCTTACCTAAATAAATGTCAGTCAAAGTACCGCAGCGCTGAATACTGAAAAATGGCCTGGATGGGAAGGGGGTTTAACACCGCGGATGTCAACTGGTTAAGAGTAGCTGGTAGGTTACTATTGGGCAACTGCTCCAGATTCTGCTCTGGTTTTGATACATCCCCCCTATATGCACATGGATTCAACTTTTTTTCCTTGGATCTTTTTAATTTCCGAATACTTGATATATTTTTTTAGCTTGTAATCCATCATACTGCATGCAGATATTGTGCTGTGAATAGGAAATGTTCCAACTGTCTGCATTTTCCATGGTCCACTTTAAAATGACTTCTATTTAGCCCCTTAATTAACCTGTTTTGGTGATCCTTACAGGGACTTCACTTTGTGCAGAATGTTGGTTAGCTGCATCAGTGGAGGCTTTTAATGAACAAACAGGCTGTCCTCTTATCAAAGCCAGCAGCCTGCTTCTCTCACTGCCTGACGCCTCCACAGATAATTGATGCTTTAATAACACTGCATATTAACGAGGAGGCTGTGATGGAAAGGCTGGTGCTAACAGCAGCATAAATCACTCTTTTATTTAATTTTATCAGATTTTAACTCTCCGAACACAGGAGAAAGGGAGGTGCCAGTAGAGCTCTGAGAAAATAATTAGATACAAGGACACATTGGGTCTTTACAGTGCAGATGCTTGTTAAGGAAAGCTGTCATTATTTAATCTACTGTACCACTTGTACTGTTTAAATAGACAATTTTGTAACTTTAGTTTCGAATACTTGAAGCTCAGGGGCAAACGAATATGAAAAAAAAATCATATATTGCTGTTCTGACTTATATATTATGTCACCAAGCAAGCTCTAATACAAATGACATTTTGACCCAGAACCTCACAATTTAACCACTTGTTGGCGCTTCTCAGTGGGTGGACATTGGTGCTCAGCCACTCCCCCCCCGCACCTCCACCGCTTCCCCTTGCCTTCACCGCCGCTGCCGGTTATCCTGGGACCGGGACACAGCAGCTGTGTACTCTTGTCAATGGAGGAGAGATCGGCATTCCCCAACTGCTAATCTCTCTCTCTCTCTCCGGGGGTTCCTTGGTGACATTGGGGGTCTTAGGGACCCCTAATGTCTCAAAGAGGACCTGTCATTGTACATTGGCATATCACATAGTGGGCTTCTGCAATAAAGTTAAGTGTAAAAAACAAAAAGTGGGGGGAAAAAAAAACAGCGAGGAATTTCCTCCAAAAGGAGGGAAATCTCTGATGGTCAGCAGAATAACCAG